GAAGCCCTAAAATAAAATACAGGCAAAGCTCTTCAGGAAGTAGGAAGGGGGGAAAACTTGATGAAAATGACCCCAAAATCACAGGCAAAAAAAGAAAACAAAATAAACAAATGGGATTATAGCAAACTAAACACCTTCTACACAGCAAATAATACAATTATCCAAACAAAACGACAGCCTACAGAGTGGGAGGAAATATGTGTAAACTATGCATCCAGCATGGGATTATTACCCAGAATATACAAGGAACTCAGAAAACAACACAATAGGGAAACATAAAATGAAGCAGATTAAAAAAATGGGCAAAGTAACCTAATAGACATTTCTCAAAAGAAGATATACAAATGGCCAACAGACACATTACTTAATTCTTAACATCACTAAACATCAGGGAAATACAAATCAAACCACATTTATGTGTCATCTCATTCAGATAGTCTGGCCATTATCCAGAAGACAGAGTAAGAGATGCTGGGCAGGATTCTGAGAAAGTGAAACCTTCCTACACTATTTGTGGGACCATAAATCAGTGCAATTATTATGAAAAACTGTATGGAAGTTCCTCAAACGACTACAGATAGATCAACCATACGATAAGGGATCCCATTGCTGGATATATACCTATAGAAATGGAAATCATCAAGTTGAAGAGAAACTTGCACTCCCATGTTTAACGCAGCTCTGTTTTCAATAGCCAAGATTAGGACCCAACTTACAGGCCCATTGGTAGTTGTCTGGATAAGTAAAATTTGGGATATGTCCACAGTGTAACATTACTGTGCCAAATAAATAAATAACAAAATTCAGCCAATTGCAGCAACATGGATGAAGTTAGGGAAAATTATGCTAAATGAGATAAGCTGGGCACATAAATTGAAATAACACATATAATCACTCATAAGTGGGAGCTAAAAAAAATAAGAAAAGAAAGAAAGACACAAGAATCACAGAAATTTGTTGAACTTTCAAAAAGAGAGATCATACATAGGCCAGAGGTGTAAAATGGGGATTGGGGAGGGCTTAGCAAGGAATTGGTAAAGGCCCCCAAAATATACTGCACTGTATAAAGTTGAATATATTATTTATTCTGACCTGAGCATCATATATTGTACACAGATATGGATATTCAAAGACATACCCCTCAGATATTTACATAAAAATTTCAATAAAAACAATAAAAAATAATATAATAAATTTGTTTTTAAGAAAAAATATCAAAGAAAAAAAATTAAGGCCTAGAATAATAAAATTATAAATATTAATCTAGGAAAATGGGAGAGAATATTATTTTCCATTTATGCTGATCAGTGCTCAAAAGTTCTCAATAAAATCATGTGCAGTGTTAAATCCTTCGATCACTGAAGAAAGATAGTATGGGAAGTAAAGTTTAAAATGTACTAAAACAAATTTCTATGCTTTAAAATAGCAAATCAAGTTGAATGGATGTGATTGATGTTATGGAGGTCACCACCAGTAGGAAATAGAGATCCTTCCCTTTGAACTTCTTGAGAAGCCACATATTGACCTGGGCACTAAGAGTGGAGCATTATCTTCCTGTTTCAACCTCCGTTGCTGGTGGATACCCCTGAGAGGTTTGACTTATCTACACATCAGGGCGGTAGCGACCTGTGGGTCTCAAAGTTCCCACTACAGTGAAGAAAGTTATGCATCACCTGAGAGCTGTTTCAGGTAAAGGCGGATCACGTCCATACAGAAATATCCAACACAATTGCTGCTAACATTTGTCTTGGCCTGGGGGACATGAAAGGGAACAACAAAAATCCAGTCCAGTGTGTCCTTACATTTTTCTTTTCATAGTTGGTTCCACACAGGTCCACTCAGTCCACTCTGCCCCAAAGGCCAGACTGACTCCTCTTTGTCTCGGTGCATAGATGCCATCTTAGCCTGAAAGACATGGGGCACTTACCATCCCTGGTAGAGAAACTCTCTTTATCCGCTGCTCCACATTCATAAGTACCCCAGTAAGAAGACAACAAACATAGACTCAGATTAAGTGGAACCACTTCTGTGCCCTAGTGGAAGGATTGTGAAGGCATAAATAAAACTTTGCATTTAGTCACCACAAAGGTGGTGAAAGGAATTAATCCTACTTCTACACTCTTATTTCCAGACCCCTATGCTGTAGCTATTGGGCCCAAGCCTCCTATACAGCCCATTGAATTGGACCACATGCTGCAAACTGGACTACAGTGAAATGCCTTTGATGGAATTAATTTAGAGCTCAGAGTTTCTTCTGGAAGACAATGTCATAAAACATCCTCAGTCACATCAATTTGGTCTTATTTTCAGAGACTTCATTTGGCCCTGCCGTTTCTCTATTAGTCTTTCTGCTTCTGGAAAAATCTAACTGAGGGATGACAACTTTAGCCCATGCGTGTGTTCACATGGCCTCATGCCCTATGACTCAACAACAACTAGAGTTCTTGTTCTTAGACAACATCCTGCAGGATCTCATATCAGATCCAGACATTCAGCACCAAGGACATTGGTTATGAGAAAAGGACTTTGGCAAGAAAGGCAAATCCTCATACTGGATAAGAATAACTACCATAAACAAGTATAAAGGTAAAAATGTAGGTGAAGGGTACATGTTATTCTTTGTCTTATTTCTGCAACATTTATTTAAGTCTAAAGTTATTACAAAATGCATTTAAAAATTAAGGAAAATATGAATCAACAGGTAAATAATGCCAAAAAAGTTAGATGAGAAAATTTTGATGAGGACAATCTGCTGGCTCTCATGGGTGAATGTGACATGAAGCAATCAACTTATTACCAAGAGGATTAGTGATATTCCGTGTGGATGGATGGTGTTGTATTTGTCACTGTCATCCCAGGCACTGAGTGTGAGGAGCTAGGCCAGTCGTTTAGGGAGCATCCCCACACTTCAACTTGCATTCTCAGGAAAGCCTGATATAAACAGAGAAGGCACAAAGGTTGGTACAGAAATATCGATAGCAATATAAAATCAATTATCTCATTCCCTGGACCCACTGACTTAGCAGAACATGTTTTCCTCTCGTGGAGGTGCTGATTACTCTCACATGTCAATGCATTCTGTTGGACTTTAATATCATAATTTCCCTGAAATGTTGTGTCATAGATTGTTAGAAAATTCCCTGAGAAATTACAACATTAATTTTCAGGAAGATGTGGAAAATTATCTGGATATGATGAAAAAATATCTGGACAAGTATAAATGCCAGAAAATAACTTGAGTGTGTATATAATGTCAGAAAGGCATTATTTTAAAATATAAGTGTTAAAAATTGCACTCACTTTAAAGAATCACACTTTAATATATCTGCTACAATACCATGTATTTGATAAAAGAAGAAAATAATGTATCTACTTTTCTGCAAAAACAGTTTTTCAATTCAGTAGAATATCTGATATTTTCCAGATGGGTTTGTTTGGGATAAATGAATATAAAACTTTAACTGGCTCATGTAGAAAGTGGGAATCTTGTCTGTTCTACCTAATGCTTGGGTGGGGCACGCCTGGCATAAAGCAGAGTCTCAAACTCATATTATTACTATTATGGAGGAACATAGTGCAGTACTGATGAAATAGTGATTTATTGCCTCATTTCTGATAGCCTTTGTTTATGTTGTTATACTTTACAAAAAATAATCACAAATGTGTTCCATGAAAGGAATCTACTCAAAAAAAGTCTTTGAGTCCTGCTTCTTTGTGTTCTACTTGCCCTGCCACATGTGAAGGAAAGTAAATAAAATCTAAAAGAAAAGAACCATCCTTGGTTTAAATACACATTCTCTGCCATTTGTACAACTTCTTAAATAGAATGCTTAGATCCTTTGCATTTACTATATTTTATTTGTTTTTATAAAAGTCTTTTAGAGCTTTAGATTAGCCTTTAGCGCTACCTCAGCTCTGTTCCATAACATAGGACCTCATAGACATTTGATTTCATATATGTGCTCTGCTCACTGGAGACAAAGGTTATATTGAGGGTCATCTGGACACCCAAAGCAACACTGTGCAACCACAGCATCTCCAAGATTTGCCTACCAGTGTGTCCTGCAGGTCCTGGAGCCATCTGTACATTTTATGGCATAAGGTACATGAGTTGTTCTAGGTGTTGTGGGGTCATTAACCACCTGTGCCTCCAACTTGATGCAGGATTGACCGCAGTAGTGCCTGAATTACATGGTTCTGCATGTGAAAGACACATGGGCTCAGCAGCACAGTGAGGAAGCTGCAGGTGACCCACTTCAGGTGACCTATCCAGGGTGTCCATGGATGGACTGACACATAGGATGCACATTAGCAGATAATGTGGGGTTGGGTATATGATGATCAAATCTATTCGAGACCACGAGAGGAAGAGGTAGCTGTCTGAGTGAAGGTGTCCATGAAGGGACAAAAGCTTCTTCTCTGGGGCCAAAGAGTGTGACCTTGGGACACACAGTGACTGGGCTGTGCGGCTGTTTTTCTATGAGTGAAATTAGCTCCAAAACAGAAATGAGGAGAATCTTCAGGATGATCTATTTGTCGAGAATGAAACATGAGTTACAGAAATTCAGGAAGAAAATGACCCTAGTGAATCTTCCTTTTTATTTGTTAATAGATATCTATATTTATAAATATATATTATTGGTTATGAATATTCATGAGATACAGAGCAAATTGTCACCTCTACTGCCTAAGATGTGAAGTCCAGATTCGTGCTGGCAGCATGCCCATTGCCACATCTCATCTACACATAGACCACATCAGATGCTCCTTCATTATTCCGTGAGGGCGGGAGGAATTAAAGACACAAATAACAAGACATAAAAGGTCTCAGGGGACAGCTGAGAACTTGGAGAGTGGATGATTCCGTTGAACCCAACAGGAAGCACAGGCCCCTCTGCACCTGCCCATGGGAATCAGCCCTGAACTTGGTGGGTCCTGAGCATCCCCTTGTGGTCCCGTGTGTCCCTGCAGTAAGTTCGTGTCTGGGCTCCCACTGACGTCCCCTCACTGTGTCTCTTGCACAGTAATACGTGGCCGTGTCCTCAGCTCTCGCATTTTCAGTTTGCAGATATACTGTGTTCTTGGTGTTTTCCCTGGAGATGGTGATCCCTGGAGATGGTGAATCGGCCCTTCACGGAGTCTGCGTAGTATGTGCTACCACCGTTCCCGCTAATGGCTGAGACCCACTCCACCCCTTCCCTGGAGCCTGGCGGACACAGTGCATGCCGTAGTGACCAAAGGTGAATCCAGAGGCGACACAGGTGAGTCTCAGAGAACCCCCAGGCTTCACCAAGCCTCCCCCGGACTCCACCAGCTGCACTTCACACTGGACACCTGCAAACACAGAGGCATCCTGGTCAAAAAACTCTCACACGAATCCACTATTTCTCCCACCCATAACCACACACATCCCCAATGTCTCTATTTCGCCTTAATATGACCTTTTAATAAAGCAAGAAGGAAAACCCAGCTCAGTCCAAACTCCATGGTGACTCGTCTGTGTTCAGTCCTGATCACCGAGTTGGAGCACCTGGGAATCTGGGGCTGGGGCTCCTCTCCCAGCCCTGCAGGGTCAGAGCTGGGCTGCTTTACATCAGCAGAGGGAGGCCCTATTTGCAA